ATATGTATATATGTGTATGTATATATATACATATATGATATATTTATGTGTATATACATGTATATATGTACATTATAGTATATGTGTAAGTAAGTTTAATAATAATAATATATGTTATTAATTTTACAATATAATATAGAGAGTTTCACTAAAACACCAAAAATAGGGGCTGAAATTATAAAAAAACCCAACACCCAAAACACTTTATAAACACACCCAAAACCCATCATTACACACACTCAAAACCCATTTATAAACACACCCAAAAAATATACAATTGTTGATTTTGGGTGTGTTTCTATGTTTAAATAGTGTGTGGGTTTTTTTATAAATACATGTCTAGGATTGGGTTTATTTATAATAATCTATATAATATATGTATTTTATACATTGGTGAGAATTGGGACTAGCTAATCCTCCCCTTCCACATGGGATTAGTAGTCCCCTCCTAAGGAGGTGTTTTTGATGGGCCCGGTATTAGCAATCCCATCTAAGACTAGGATTAGATAAAATAAACATGGTACTAAATTTAGTCCAAGCCAGTCCAAGGCAATTCTGTGTACCAAACGAGCCATAAAGGTCTTAGATAAGGCCTTCACTATAAAACGAGGTCCTATATTTTGTATTCGGTTCGTTAAAGGTAAAAAAAAAATAAAAAAATTAGAGAATGAGACAGAGTTTGCTTGCATAGAATCAAAATTTAGAGATTTGATGGAGACGGTGCAATATTGTACACTGCAAAAGTAGCTTTTGCCTCCAGCCGATCGTGTCACTAAAACGCAATCAGTGCTTTACTTACATTGTCAACAACAAACTTCAAAAGGGTCATGATCAGCTTCATGCGAATGAAAAGACAAAAATGCTCTTAGAAGTAGAATAATCTCAAATAAAAGAAAGATTAAAATCATGCAAACAGATTAACAATGCCCCCATAATCACAAAGAATGCTTCAAAGAGTATCGAGGGAGCACAATCTCGTCCTTCTGCCGTATCACTGCCTGCAGCTGAAAATAAAAAAGACATGAACCCAATTTGAAGTTATGTACCAAAAGAATCAAGTATAATTGAAGCAATAATGAAACAAAAATGACCTGAGAGAGTTATAATCATTTTGCATTAATGTAACATTTCTTGTGTAACGTTGTCAACATTTATAAAAGTTTGATTTTCTTGTTATCGGGGTATAGTCTAGTTGAAAAAGATATTGACACACAGATTAGTAGTCTCAAGTTCGAATCTCCATATCACTTTAGTAGTGTGGAGAAAACTCCCTCTCTCTAGTATCGCTTATATTAAAATAAATAAATAAATAAATAAAAAAGTTTGATTTTCTTACCGCATTCTCTAGTAGAATTGGTGAAAGTAGAGCAGAGACAGAGAGACACTTGAGTCTCAGTATCAAACCCACAAGTCCCACCGGACTGAGCACATCTCTCACACCCAGTATCCGGAACCGCAAAGCTCAACTTAATCCCATAAATCCAATCCAACGGTCCCAAACCTCTCAACCGATCCGTATTAGTCACGCTAGTATAATGCGTACAGTCCAAAATATTCATGCTCATGAACTTCACAGTATCATACCCCGTAAAACAGCACGGCGGAACAAAATCAGTACTACCAGTACTATTAGTCCCGTTGCTTACTCCCAAGCCCAACCGAAAAAGCCGAAACGCGTTGCATGAGTTGTAAAGCTCGTCGCAGGAGTGGCCGGAGAAGTTGAAGCAGAGAGACTTGTAGTGGTTGAGGACAGGGGAGTCGACGGAGCAGTTGAGGAGGGCGAAGACGGTGTCTGAGGTCGGTGGGATTATGGCGGACTGGATAGGGGTCAAGAGGAAGTCGTGGTGGGGTTGGAGGATGGAGCAGGTTGACATGGCGGGGTCGTAAACGACGAGATTTTTCTTGTCGTAGTCGATAGACTGGACTTTGTAGTTGCCGGATGGGGTGGTGAAGAAGAGGTCGGTGGAGCAGTTGAGCATGCCACGGAACTGCGGCGCGCCGCAGCCGTCGTCGAGGCCGAAGGGGTAGTTTACGGGGATGGGGCCGCAGGTGGTGCGGCAAGGGGAGAGGGTTAGGGCGGGGAGGAAGTGGAGGAGGAGGTTGAGGAGGCTGATGAGTGGTTTTGACTGAGAGTGGCTCCACATTTTTTTTTTGTGAATATTTGAAAATTAGTTATAGCAACAGATAACTGAGATTGCTCAATACTAACCTTAAAACGCTTCAAATCAACTGCTACCCAATGTTTTCAACCTTAGGAATCAACTGATCACTGGAGGAGATACATGGAGGAGATCGCCATATGTAGGAGAGGTTTTTGGGTTTTGAAGTTCTGAACCAGTTTGAGGAAAAGCGCGCTAAAATATCACAGAAGAAACCTATTACCTCCACCTGTTATAGCAGGTTTTCTTTTTATTTTTTTACAAATTAATTGGCATGTGCACTGCACATGCTTCATAAACAACAAATGGTGCATGGGTGCACCTGGTGCACCGTAGAAGGTGCCGTGAAAACAGAGTGAAAAAGGTAGCCGGGATTTGCTCCATTAATTAGGACAGCTTTTGATGCTTTAGACAGCTGTTATGGGATCCACAAGTTGAAAAAGAGTGAAAGAAACCAAGTAGCAGCAGTGAATTATGTATCAGCGTTGGGATTCTCAATTAGGGTTTGTTCTTAGATCAACGGTGAGTTTTCATGGATTTGCATAAATGTTATTGAGGAGGCAAGGCACAGGTCCAGCAGCATATAAAAAAGGCTTGTAGGTTCTGGTCAATAAAAGAGAATGAAATAAAAAGGAGAAAGAGTGCGGTGAAGGTGGATCGAACACCTGACCTTCAGATCTTCAGTCTGACGCTCTCCCAACTGAGCTATCCCCGCAATTGATGACTAAAACTAGAAAACAAATAAAATATTTCAAGTTTAGGTCTAAAGTAAAAATAAAAAAAGAGTGACGTATACTAATGAATGCAAGATGAAAATATCAGCCGATGTATCAGGATAAACCTATTTCTTCCGCGATATATTTCCAATATTCTTGATATTTCTTGAAGAAAGTATTTTTGCTCAACACTTGACATGTCTACATGGGTACCATATAACCATAGTTAAATTTTTGCTTTGCATTTGTGAAACCATAGTTATACTCATGGACACGTGTTAATTGTTGAGTATGACGATAAATGTATATCTTGAGTTAAAGTTGTAAGCAAAATTTCACTAATTTCTTGATACCATACCCATAAATTTTTCTTCAATTTTCAAAGTAATTGAAGATCCTAGCAATTGGATCAATACAAAAAACCCCAAAATAATGCAAAGATTCTACCAAAAAACCCAAATAATGGCACTTAACTTTAGATCCATCAACCAAATAATAATCTAGTTGTCACACAAATTAAAGGTTGCAATGACTTGGTATGACTAGATGGTTGCTCCTCATTGTTTGAACTTCATAGGAGCTCTTCGTTTATGTAAAATGCACACAGAGCCGGTCCTGAGATTTTCGAGGCCCGGGGCAACGCCAAAAATAGACCTTATATATATATACCACACAAGAAAAATCTATGTGAAAGTAGAATATTATAAAATGAGATCTACATAGTATCATTTATTTTATATATATCTCTATATAAGAAAGGATCGAAGACAAAAAAGAAAATGAGAGATGCATCTATGTGGTTTTTTATATATCTCTACATAATATTATAAAATGAGAGATGTATATAAAAGCATTGGAGTACTAAAAAGAACCTGCTTATTTTATATAAGAAGAAGAAGAAGCATTGAACTACTAAAAAGAACCTGCATACTTGAAGACCCTCAAAAAAGCATAAGGAAGGAAACACAATGCTGGGATTCGAACTTGGGAAGGACTTGAATTAAAAACCAGGCTTAACCAACACCGCTGGCTTTACTTTATGTCAATAGGTCTTTTATTTTATTTATATAACCGTTAAATATGACCTGACAATGACAAAAAAATATTAATTTTGGGCCCCCCTTGAGTCAGGGCCCAGGGCAGTCGCACTTCTTGCCCTGGCCCAGGGCCGGGCCTGAATGCACACACACAAAAACCTTTTATGCAACCAAAGTTTTGGCGACCAACGCAACTTTGGTCACCCCATAGTGTTATGAGCGAGGACATTTTGTAATTCCGTTGACAAAATTTTTGTGAGATTTAGGCATAGATTAAGACTTCAACCAACCAATTGGCGACAAATGCTTTTCGAAGGGTGACTAAAATATTTCGACGTTGTTTAATGAATTCGCGACCAAATGCAATTTTGGTCCCCCATTTTCAATTTTGGTAGGGCCACATGTCCCTTTTTTTATTATGACTTGCCCAAACTCTAAGCGGCCCTCACAAATTCCAGGTGACAGCTCCCAGATAATAATGGAGACAAATCCCACAAATCCGGCAATCTCTCATAAATTATGAATGACAGCTGTCATGGAAAGTCATGATGACTTTGCTGAACGCGTTTGCACTTATCTAAATTGTACTATAATATAAAACTACGCAATTATGCATAGTTTTGCATAGTTTATCCTTTCTAATATCATACCAAAATAAAAATCCATTCTACTATAAAATTTATTTCATGCTTTTTATGCAAATTTTACTTCAAAATTCCATGTTTTTAGGCCAAATTATTTTGAGATTTCCAGCTATGCTAAGATTGACATAGTATTTAGGGTTTCTTATACCTAGGACTTGGTGCCTAGGGTTAACTTTTCATTTTTTGATTTGGCGCCACGTTAATATGTGTTCTTTGTCGATTCTAAAAGTATATCGATAGATTCACAAAAGATACGTAAATTTTGGACTCAGATACTATATGAACAGTTGCACTTTCGAGTCTAAAGTAAAAATAAATAAATAAAGAGTAACATATCATAGTGAATGCACTTTCAGGTCTACAGTAAAAATAAATAAAAAAGAGTACTCAAAATGCGGTGAAGGTGGATCGAACACCTGACCTTCAGATCTTCAGTCTGACGCTCTCCCAACTGAGCTATCCCCGCTTTTATTAAGTGTAACAGGAAAATAGTAATTAGTTCAGTGTGTAAAATTCCCGACCTATATTTTATAAAGGCATCCAAAATCCTTTGAACTTGGGCCAATTGATGCACGTTTACGCCTAGGCCCAATAGTACTCACACCCCATATCAGAAATTTCAAGTTTCAACCACCAAAGAACAAAAAAAAGAAAAAAAGAATATATTTTCTATTAAACCCCGCACTTTCCTTTGTTCACCCCAATACTTAAATAATTAAGCTGTAAGTTTTATTATTGTGTAAAAAGACAAAAAAGTCATCCAACTTAATAATTAACCATAGTACATCTATACACACCCCACACCCCACCAATCTTCATATTAAGTTTTAGAAAAATACAAACTCCTCTACATCCTATTGTCATATTACTCTTCTCTTTTAAAGATGTAGAAAATTGACGAGCCTACCTCTTTAAATATGTGTGGAAGTTGATGGAAAGACTTGTTGATTATGAACTCAACAATACCCAAGTGTTGAAATTCCAGTTACAATTCTTAAAGAGAGGTAAAGTTATTCTCTTTCTCTATAAAGTATTAAATTTTGGGTTTGGAATTCTATTTGTTTGTGTTTTTTTGCTGGGAAAAAAAATTTGTGGGATTTAAATAGAAAATCTCTTTTATTTCTTATTTTTTCAATTTAGGGTGTATTTAAGGGTGATTTGGAAAGATAGGGGGGTTTTCTCAGAAATTGTGAAAATTTAAATTAAAAGATGGGGTGAACTTAGAATATGGGGTGAACTAAGAGAAGTGTGGGGTTTACATAGAAAATCTAAAAAAAAACTCAAGTTCTCAACACATCGTTGGTTGGTCCATATATATAGATCACATTATACTTGGCATACATAGGCACTACATATTTAGACGCTAGCTACTACTAGTCACAAAACACAAAAGACACATACATTATCTACGTACATATATTACTCGACACTCTTTAGATTAGGGTTCATAATTAAAATCAAACAGTAGTAAAACGCAGGTACTCCTTCTTGGATGGCAGGTCCATGGTCTTGTAGCCCTGAGGGAACATTTTTTTAGCCTCCTCCTGAGACACAGAAGGAGATATGACCACCGGCTCGCCCGGCTTCCAGTTTGCCGGGGTTGCGATCTTCTCCTTGCTCGCCATCTGCATCGACTCCAGCACCCTCAGCACCTCGTCCATGTTCCGCCCCGTGGTTGCGGGGTACAGAAAGCTCAACTTCACCTACATATTGTCAACAAATATCTTAATTGACCTCAAACTATACTAATTTGCACAAAATTAATCAACTGGGTCACCCTACCTTCTTGTCAGGGCCCACAATATGAAGGGCACGAGACGGAATCGGGTTTCCTGATGAGTCCTTCATGTCAGGGTCCACCATGTTAAGTTGCTTGATGATCTCTCGGGTCGGATCTGCCAGAATCGGAAACTCCACTTTCCGCCCGCACTTGCATGAAAAACCAGAAGAAATGTCAAAACCCTAACAATTGAACATATATCAATCGGTCAAGTAAAATCGAACAATTAATTGGAAACTCACGGTGCTGAAGGCTTCGATGTCCTTGATATACTCAAGGTGTGACTGGACGTCATCGCAGGACAAACCCACAAGCTTCACCCCTCTCTCTTGAAATTGCATAGCGTATTCGGCCATCTTCCCGAGCTCAGTCGTGCACACCGGCGTAAAATCGCCTACACATATGTTACATGTAAGCAAATTAATTAGCACATAATTAAACTAACAGAAATCATTAATTATGGTATTAGCGCTAATTATACGTACCTGGGTGAGAGAAAACGATGGCCCAGCTATCGCCGATGTAGTCGTGAAGCTTGATCTTTCCATGGGTGCTCTCAGCTTCAATGTTTGGGAGTGTGTCTCCGATGGTTAGGCCAGGCATTTTCGCAGCACTTTGTTTGGAATGGATTTTTTTTTTTTCTCTGTGGGGGTGAGGTAAGTATATAAAGAGTGCGTGGGCGCGTTGCATGCAGAGAACGTGGCTAGGGAGTTGCGGCAGTTGGCTTGGCTCCATATCATTGGTCGTGGGCTTCTGCCACGTGTCTTCTGCATGAAGTGAACGTGGCCATTAGGTTTATGGGTTTCGAAACACATAGCCATCATTTTCCCCGTGCTCTA